AAAGACAAAGATGTAATATAAAGACAACACAAACCAAATACATGAATATCCTGCCTGCAGAGTGTATCTTTATTAAACAATAGTGAAGTAATACACTGCGTGCATGGCATAACCTCAAACAACAATACAGCAAATCAAAATAGTGAGACCTAGAATATTATCAATATGCATGTGAACAAAAATCCGTCAATAAATGAAAATTTCTACAAAAGTCCCTATATTAGCAGAAAGTGATTTGGATTACTGCTGCATAAAAATGAACGCTGTTTGCTTTCCTAGATCGTTTGCCAAGCATGTTGAGGTTCGAGCATACGCGATTCACGTTCCAAATCAAAGAGAACCATGGCATTGGATTCACTAAAGGGATAGTGAAGGCTGTTGGCTGTGGGAATAAAGGAGTCAGTTACACCATACGAGATAATTCCCTCTTCACTATCCCTTTAGTGAATCCAATGCCATGGTTCTCTTTGATTTGGAACGTGAATCGCGTATGCTCGAACCTCAACATGCTTGGCAAACGATCTAGGAAAGCAAACAGCGTTCATTTTTATGCAGCAGTAATCTAAATCACTTTCTGCTAATATAGGGACTTTTGTAGAAATTTTCATTTATTGACGGATTTTTGTTCACATGCATATTGATAATATTCTAGGTCTCGCTATTTTGATTTGCTGTATTGTTGTTTGAGGTTATGCCATGCACGCATGCAGTGTATTTTTCCACTATTGTTTTATAAACGATATACTCTGCAGGCAGGATACTCATGCATTTGGTTTGTGTTGTCTTTATATTATATCTTTGTCTTTTTTCATGTACGATTTTTGTTTGTTTCTTCCTTTTCGTTTCGCTTTAATTGTCAAACCTGCTGAAATACGTCACTGTTCAGTGTACGTCATTGCCGTTGGCTGAATTTTTTCCACTTAGAATTTGTCGGGCCGATTCAAATGCACGTTAATAATGTCTGTAATATACGTGTAAGCGTCTGAATGGCGACATCATGCATCCAGCAAAAGCCAAAATCGGTCCGACAAATCATAAAAGTGTGGACGTGGGTGTGCACTATGCAGGATTGAAAAGTGCTTTTCACCGGTGTCTGAGAGAGAGAGTCTTATAGAAATATCCGACAGAAGCATTGTGACGAATCCTCTTCGGGCTTTTGCATGTAAATTTTTATTAATGGACTTGAACAATATCTTCCATTTTAAGAATTTCCGGGGCAATGACAAGGGATCCGCTGGCATAAAGGAAATTGGCAATATCCAACATCCTCCCTTTGTATCCTTTAATAAAAGGGGGGTATAACCTGTGACGCCAGGTTTCTATTCTTAAGCATCTACTCTGCCAGATTTATCTATCTATTCTTCCTCGTCGGTCGCTTAATGTACAACAAACAAATAAGTCAATTTTTAAGTAATCGGTTAACTGTTGTTGGGTAAATTTTGTAAGAAATCCGTTAAAAACGATCGGTAGACGGTACAACACTCCGTTGATGTGATCTGTCGATTTTAGCGCCTGTGTGCGCACGATAAGATTTAGGTTCGCGATAATTGCCATGCGGAGATTATAGTTATATGGAAATATGGATTCTATAAGTGAAAATAATGAGACGCTGTATAATTAGGATTGCTATATCTTGAATTGACAAACACTTTGAACCACAAATACGATGAACACAATTTAACGCAGATTATCATGAAGACACACTATTTCAAGTAAATAACGTCTTATTTCAATTCTTTGTTACTTTGCAACTTGGCATGTTTCGAAATTTTTCAATCTCTATTTAAAAAGTGCCATTCTGTGACAATATTCGAGTGTCCAAAAAAAACAACAATATTGGAGAGGTGTGCTCATACAGCACGCTACTTTACCATGTTTTGCAATCCCTTTTAAGGTCCTTTTAAAGTGGTAGGAAGGGCAAAGTAAACGTTAGATCCCTGCACAGTTTTAAATAATCGATTACACGGATAGTTTTGTCCTGTTTCTTGTTACAAAAATAAACTATGATGCAAAATATTATTATACTCTTCGTGGTCAATCATGCACAAGAACATTACCGCTGTATTGATCAGCCTAAAATACAAAAAAATCTTAAAGTAAAGTTTACAATAGTATCATAATATATTGCTCAAGACTACCTTGATTCATTAGATGTAAAAAATTAACGAAAATGAGAAGGTTTAAAACCACCCCATTGGGTTCAGCTGAGCTTGTTTCCCTTGATGTTAGTAACAGGAACATGCTATTGACAATAAATTATTAACTAACCAGTCTTAGCAAGTTAATATTAAATTCGAATGATTTCCGAGTAGAAATTCTAAAATATCAAAAGATATAAAAGGCTACATCGTTTGTATCGTCTAGTTTCTTCTTCGGAAAAAACCCTTCGGAATTTGAATGCCCTCATATCTGCGAACACGCGATGTTTGAAACACAGTTTATCAAGCTATTCTAAGTCCATCACAAAACAATAAACCACATCAACTACAAAAGCATTGTTTTGCGATCCTTTATATACTTATAGACCTCAAACAAGAGGGATACAGAAGATGAAGGGGCATATTCCTTTTAATCTTTACACGCAAATAGGTTGAGAACCATTGAGCATTTCATACAATTCGGGACAGAACTGTTTCCAATATGTAATTCAATACACAAGGAAAAGAGACAAAGATGATGATATTGTTAAAAACATTTTGTTTAAAAGAAAGTCTAGATTCGTTTGAAACAAATAAAAGAAGGAGGAAATTGCTACATTTTGAACCGAATTCGATTCGATTGTTGCAATCATGTTACAAAGACGGCGCCATACTTGCATATTTGTTGGCAAAATATGTCAAATTTGTGAGCGCTTTAAAGAAGTTATGATCAATATCTACCTTGTAAATTGTTCCCAGAAGCAACTGCTAAACAAAAGGCAAGGAATAGGTTTGAAATCTTTGGAATTCCCATAGTTTTACGGTCTTTTAAGTTATAAATTCTGTGTCCGTGTTGACAGTAGACTTTGTTACGCTAACCCCCTCGAAGGCGCATACTAATAACTTGATATTTCACTCGGGTGAATATTTAACTAAGGTGAGGTGAAAATTAGCATAATTGCTATCACGTGTTACCCCACCTCGTCGGGTTCCTTTCGATGTTATTTGCCAATTTGAAAGGGCCCTAAGAGCAATTACCGCTTTCGCAACTTTCGCTGTATTAGTTGACTAAGGAGGTAGAGTTGTTGTGTAAAAATAGCCAGTAGACTTCCGGAAAACGTTACTAACTACTCTTGGTTGCAATGATGAGGCAGAGGGTAAATTCTTTACATATATGATGGCACAGCCACAGTTCATCACCAAATACAGAGGAATACACCACGCACATAAAAGACATCTTGATCTTGTATTACCAAGATATGCATGAAGAATGATAAATGTCAGTGAGAACTATTGAAATGTTCAAGACAATTTTGGAAAAGTTTAATTTAAAAAATTTAATACATCACTATTCACTAGAGCCTGTGTTTCTTCGCTTTGAACCTATCCTACTAAAGCTAAGTGTCTGCCCGAGGCTAGCGAAAAACCTACAGTATAGCCCTTAAACATTGCCCCAGTCCCAGTCAACATTTATCAAATTCTGTACAAGCACCATTTATTAATAGTTCATAGGCAATTCAATGTTCTCACAAAATCAAGTTTAAAAATTAGTAGCGAAAAGACCGAATTATCTTTGAGCTTTTTCCACCTGAGATCCGGCGACTGCCAGTAACTTTTCACCAGTACCTTAAAAAAAATTGTGAGAGTTTATGAAAGTTACAGTGCATATACGGTTCTATGAAAATTTCTACGCAAGTTGTCATAGATCGTTGAAAGACAGAATCACCAGAGTATCATATCACTAAAATCAGCGAGGTGCAAATCATTTGAAAACGGTTTTTTAGCTTAACTTACCCATCGATTCTGATATTCGTTCAAATTCACTGAGAGCAGCGCTTGAATTTTTCGCCAAGAATTCAACCTCTCCAGGTTTCAGCTATACATAAAGATTGATAAGAGAAAAAGAAGTTGACTACGACAATTTAAAAGACGCCTGGAAAGTATTTTTTCCATGCGACGCCAGTAGTCGGATGAAATAATGTATCAAGGATTCAAGGTTCAAGGCAATGGTTTTCAAAAGTTCTATATGATATAGTATATCTGCAACGTGCGATCGTTTTTAGTCCAGAATGCGACAGGTGTAAGCGCTATAAAATTCGAGATTGTTAAAAAATTCTGTCCACCTACAGTTTCTCCTAACTTTTTTAAAGCTGTGAGCATTTCGACTGCTTGTTGGGTGTAAACATCTTCACTAATGTGACCAGTTTTGACATCTCTTTGTAACTACGAGAATAGGCGAAGAAGATATGTACATGAGCATGACTAATATTCATCATGATAGTATAATATGACACACATTAATCAATTGATTAATATACCTCAGCTAATCTGTTCCTGAGTTGGCCTGGTTGTTTTTTAGCAAACATTCGGATCACTTCGGGAGTTTTGAATGCATCGCTTATAGCTGCTTGCAGGGCCTATGGCAAAAAATGGACTCTTTTTTATCTGATTCAAGAGGGTCATGTGTAGAAGTTGTTGATGGATAGAATTAGTTGAAAAATGTTTTCAATGCACTCATATATGCAGACTGATATTTCTCCAGTTAGTAAAAAAAGCTTTACTAGTTGCATGGCACTAATTTCATCAATCAAGGTCATATCTCCTGCAGCAAACTTCACAAGAGATTCTTTGAATTCCTTTAGTTGATCTACGGTCTCTCTCTTTGTCTCTTCATATTCATCTGGATCTAAATCATCTCTATTGATCAAATGAAGATAATGATAACACAAAACCAATCAACAAAATATACACCACAGGTAGTTCTTTATTCAGTCCATGTTGACACATACCTACATTCTTCTAAGTCTGACAACTGTACCATCAACCTATCAAGTTGTTCTTCAAGATTCTTCTTTAGTTTCTCAGTCTCAGACTTTCCTCTTGAGGCCATTATTGGATCAACTCTTAGATAAGATACAGGAATGCTGTACAATGGTGGTGATGCTTTTTTGAAGCATATCTTTGGCAATTTAGATGATGATAATATTGGTAATGATGACAATTAGTCAATTACAGATATTGATGATGATGGTAGCTCGCAGATATAGCAGTGTTATGATGATGATGCCAAATATGGATAATAGTAAGAATGATAATAGCAAATTATATTGATTGTATCGACAATGAGGACTTTCTATTATGAAAATACTGTTCACAGATTTCGATACATATTTTTGCAGGTGAAGGTCAGAAAATACTCCACCATATATATGATAGAATATAATAACGAATCAAGGCTCTCCTTACCTCTTAAAATGCCTCTTATCAAATTCTAAATTTTGTTTACAAATATATATTATATGTATACTTTATACGTACTTTATTTACATAATAATTGTGTTCGATTCCTACCGTCGATTTCCGACGTATTCCGAACGAGCCGGCCCGAGTTTTCCACGTGCCTGATTTGCCCGATCCGCATCTCGTGGCCTTCCTTTCCCACGTTGCGTAAAGAATCGCAATTTTTTCAAGATAAAGGTAAGAAATTGAAATATCCTCTTAAATTTTAGGCTATTGGGGACCCGATCTCCGCAATAGACTTCGATAATTGAGTCAATATTAACCTGGAAAGTTTAAATGAGTGCGATAAGGCATCAAAGTCTTCCTATAAGAATTATAAAACCCAATTTCCATATGTGATTGTAGAATACGCGTGTGTCTTTGAATGTTACATCAAATTCGGATTGTTTTCGTTACTTTCGTACATAATTATGGGTACAAATTGAAGATGAAACAATCGCTTTTCATTAATTTAAGTTAGTTGCAGGAATGTGCCAGATTAGCAGAGAATTTTAGTGCGGTGTAAATGATTTATTGCAATCGGGTTTCTTGATTTGGGTAAAATGATCATTTCGTTTGCGTGATGGTCAAGAGATGAGTTGATATCGGTCGTAAAATGCGTATGTAAATCCATCGATCGCCCGGAATAAAAAATTGGGGAAAAGTGTTATTTTCGTTTATGATCCGGAGAGGTTTTTGTAGAGTTCGTACCAAATAGCCTTAAAAAACGGGTGGGGTTTAGTTTAGTACAAATAATACTGATCTCTGATCAAAACTGGATAGTTGAATATTCAGTGCATGAGTAAAAATAGTCAACCAAAGTCTTTCCTATTGGGATTTATGTGATTTATGCAGGGAACTTTATTTTTCCATAGCTAGAAATTTTGGTGCGATCTTTCATTATGGCTGACGAGGATTTTGAAGGTGGAAGCTCAGGAGCCTCAGACACTTACCCTGCACAGTGCTCCTCTCTCCGTAAGAATGGCCATGTGATGATTAAAGAACGTCCCTGCAAAATTGTTGAGATGTCAACATCCAAAACTGGAAAACATGGACATGCAAAGGTATGAAATTTTTTCAGTTAAACCCTAAGTGAATTTTCCTGCTCCTTCAGAAATATTGAAGTTCTCTAAAAACTCAGAGATGCACTCAATTGTTGCTTGTTCCTGAAAAAGAAACTTTTGTTATTATCTTTTAAAGTTATTTTTATATATATTATAATATTTTTGCCTGTCCGCTCATAAATATGCCCGACTTATGGCTCTGACCTGTTGATAGTGTGCATTAGCAGCTAAGGGTTTGGTGAATTCAGCCCCTCTATTTTTACTGTGGTGTGATTTGAATTCTGACTTTTTAAACTTATCTTGTATATGAGTTCAAGTTATTTTTTCAATAAAAATACCAGAAATTCCTCATTTATATTTTTGTGCAAAATACTAATAAAAATTATCTAGTATTTCATTCTATATTTTTATAAATTTGGCCAAAAAAACAACAATTTCCTTCATGATTTGAGCACCACTTCTCACCCAGGTACACTTGGTTGGCCTTGACATTTTCACTAACCGCAAGTATGAAGATATCTGTCCATCCACTCATAATATGAATGTGCCAAATGTCAGCCGCAAAGATTTCCAATTGGTCAATATTGAGGAGGGCTTTGCTCATTTGATGGATGATGCTGGAGATGTGAGAGAAGACCTCAAAGTTCCTGATTCAGATTTAGGAAAGGAAATACAAATGAAGTTTGATAATGGGGAGGAGTTCATGTGCACAGTTCTTAAGGCTGTTGGAGAGGAACAGATAATTGCTTTGAAGGCCTCAGCTAATAAGAGCAACTAACCATTTGAATGTTGGGTTTTTCTCTCGAATGAGGAATTAAAAAACTATTTTGACTTTTGATCATTTTGCGTTCAATTTTATGTTTTGAGATGGATGGCTTTATTTTGTTTTATGATAATATTCTTTCTTTGGATCATTTCATAAAAAAAATGCCTGTGCACTTGCCAAGTTAGTTGAAGTGTCTGGATTGAAAGTGATGTTTTCAAACTAGTGGGTTGGTTGTATTATGGAGTGCTAATACCAAAGAAAGAAAGTTTTTTATTACCTAATACTAACTTAATGTAACTGCATTATTATTAAATTGTATGTTAGGGATAGTGTGTATTTACCAGTTTAGGAAATAATCTCTGGGGCAAATGCACAGGCATTTTGAAAACGATTATGTAAGTGAGGTAAACCATAATATAAATGTAACTCTACTGGCGATACTGCTCTCTGATATATTTTCTCTGGTTTGAAAATCGCTGTACTAGAAAATGTAGACATTGTTTTGCAGTTGTTTGCAAATAAATTGTTAGATTTGTCCAACTGCTTCAAGGGAATGCAATTGATTAAATTGAATAAAGTGTCTTTCGTGAACCAGTAGTTTTATAGTAGTTTTTTCCATTTTTCTTTGGGTAATATAAATAGTCCGACATAGCAACTGAAATTATATTTATTCTATCTTCTCTTTACAAAATGACGTTAGAAAATTAAGCTATTGGCGTAATGCTAATTTTGGCAAGCCGTTTGTCAACAACGACTGTTTTGTGCAAGCAAAGCAAGTGAGCATAAATTGAATTTGTTAATAAACTGTTGTTTCCCAGGCAAGACCGTCGTTCTGAAGGCCGCAAGGTCGCCGAAATTCCTGTCCATGTGAGTGAATCCACTTGTTGGAAACTATTAAAAAATGAAATGCCGGTTAAGCTAACCGAACAACCTGCCCTTGGAGCATTTCTGTCCAATCTCACTGTGGTCCGTGACGCACACAATTCGTGCGTACGTTACCGACCCGTTTTAATACGTCTTTATTCTGTTACCTTACCCCATTTGGATCCAACGATGACAGGGCAAGCTGCGTGCCTTGTAGACGAGTCTCCTGCCCCCGACCTGCGGAGGTTGTACCAGAACACTGCGTCACCCTGGGAAAGTTTCATGAACATACAGTTTGAGCATTTCACTAAATGACGCTCATTCAACAATTTATGGAGTTATTCTCTCGTGAGTCGGGTAACTTTGTCCTAAATCATTTCCTTGCTCAAAAAGAATGAGGCGCGTACGCCTATGCGGGTGATTATTAGCTGATGCGACTCAATGAGGTTGTAGTTAGATTATTTCCCAAACTTGTTGTTTTTACGTTGAATTTCTTCTTAAAACTACTTGATTCGTTGTACCATGCAGAACACTGCATCACCTTACGCAAGCGTTGACCTCATGTACCCAGATAGCAAAGAAATTGCTCTCAGTACTAATTGTTAGTTGAAGTTTTAGATTGACTATTACATAATGCATGTACCTTGGATGGTTTCACTACTGCGTTGGCTCTCATAAAAACTGTGTATCCACCTGATTCAACATCAGACATCTAAACAAATAGATTTGACATCGTATACAAACCGCACTAAAAACAAAATTGAAATTGAGCATTGTTTAATATCAAATACACGCTCGTCCACTACCCACATAAATAAGAAACGTAGCGAGGCGGTTTCCTTTGTGTATTCTTAAAATTGATGCTTTGGGATTCTAAAAATATGATAGTGTTAGTAAACGACTGATGTATCGTTCAATACATTAAAAAATAGCATGTTGACTGAAAATGAATCACTATAACTTACTATAGCATGATCCCAGTGTGGTTCATAGTGACCTCCTATACCATAGTTTGCAACCTGAAAATAGACATTATCTGGTTCTTTGGTATGAACGCTAAGAATAAATTAAGTTGTCGAGCATCAGAGCTCAAGGTAGCAAATAGTGAAATACGTCATGCAGTCGTTGCTGCATGGGAAGAAATCGGGAGAGTTATGTTATATCTATTCTATATATGAGTATACAGTAAAAGGATTATTTACGAAACGACGATAAACGATTATGTGACCTGCATTGCTTCAGCTGATTCAAAACTCGTAGATAAACCAGTCAAACTGGAAATTCTTTTGCTGATGCGATCTACCACTTCATTTTCGTAATCTTCCAACCAACCTCTGAGAGCCGGAAAACACAAGCATTTAATAACTTGACTAAGCTATATATATGTACTATTGGATCCGTTAACACGCACTGATTAACATTCAACCGTTCCTATACCACCAAATACCAGCAAAAGAAACATAATGTATGCAGTAACATACGTTTTGCTTACTCTATATTTGGCAAACTCCAATTTGCCTGTCGCTAAGTTATTGATCGTCGCTCGTCGCAACTATTAATAAAACACAAAATATGTTTCGATCCTGTCTGATGGCATTGGTAGCAATCATTATCCTATTTATATCTGCATTCAACCACACTTACCCTTGGTGTAGCTAGCGTCTTCACCACTTTGATTTCCTCGTCAGTGATTATATTAGAATATTTAACAATCCTTGGTTTTAAATTGAGAACCTCGATTTTCGCTGGTTTGATAAAAAGTTTTGGCGTGCTTCTGTCATAATAGCATGTCAACAATGCGAGTTCTTCTGCTGTCTAAATAAAAAGAATCGAATCGGTTCTTTAAGAGAAGGGCAGGTCACTACCCACGGACCACGAGCGCAGCTTATCTATATAATGTGTCACAATATCAACCTTTATTACCCCCCTCCCACAACACACATGCCTAAAGGTTTGAGCAAATTGCTCCACCTGCCCCCAACCCCATGAGGGGCGGTGGACAGTGAACACAGTCAGAGTGAACAGTTCTCAACCTTATTAGTTTGCCCACGGCAAAGACTGCTGTAAATATCCATGTAAGGAGGTCTTTTCTTCGTTTGTGCTTGTTTAACTTCGTGTTTTTCAATTACAAGTTGGAAGAATGCTTTGTTTTCTTTCGCGTTCTTGTTGTCTGGTTCTAAAAAATGAATATTATTGCTCTCGATATTGAAATGTTCAGTGGCACGAACAATAACGATGATGGCGATATAATCAATCTGGCTGTGATCTAACGGAATCGACCAGGGACCAAAAGGCAAATATATACAAACCTTTTTCTAGTATTTCATTTGTGATTGACAACGCTTTATAAGCAAAACCAGTCTAGAGAAATGAACAACTTTTTCAATAACACACAGTGATCTTTTTACTGCATGCATGTAATTACATTCTCCTTTTTCGAGCATAATGCTGTGCGATCAGTGGTCTTCAGTCAAACATATGATTTTCTTTAGTGTTGGCAGTTGGCGGGCGTTTTTGGGACCTGGCATTGTTCAAGATGCCAGGTTTACTGATAAAAGGCTATTCGAACGTGGTTTGTGTTTTAGTCGTAACAAAAGCCGATTATCAAAAGCCGGGTCGTGTTAGGAAGGTTTGCAGGTCACTTGGGCTTTATATCGGCACGTCATAACTTTCCGATGTATTTCCTGGATTATAGTTAAACTGACAGACCGCGTTCGACGTAGATTGGGGAATATATATTTACCTTAGTGGAGTTGAATCTTTGAGATGTCTAGGTGATTAAAATAGATGATAGATTAAAGTAAAGAGATTCAAGCGAGGCGATGTCAGAAAACTGTGCTCGACGCCTGAACCTCTTTGGGGACAGCCGAAAAACATGATCTTCCTGAAAATTTTCATCAGACTCAGCTTCACCGCGGCCGGAGAAGAACTTATCCATATTCTCACTCACCTCATATTCACACCAGGCAATAAACTCCTTCAGCACTGTCTTCGTGAGGTAACTACTGTAGATTGTCGGTTGGAATTTTCTCAGTCCTTCGATCATCCATTCCTTGGCTCTCGAGTAGTCTTTGTCGTGATAAGCGATTAATCCGACCTGGAAACAATCCTCTGTCTCCATCTTTGCGTGTGGATAGTTTGAGGAAAGATTTCCTTCGGCAAAGTCTTGTGGTCGAAGATGATAAATTTCTTGCAAGCGAAAAATACCTTCGACAGCACCAACTAGGTCTTCATATTGTGGAAAAAGAGGTAGGTGTAGGTTGATACTTTTGCTTAATTCTATAAAAATGGTTTGCAAATGATTTAAAACTATGTAATACATGCATCATGCATGTTCAGCTAGTTTTTACTTTTGTTTCGCCTTTGCTGACAAGCCGGAACTATTGAACTTGTCCACCCGGTTAAATCGTTTCACAGCCTGCTGTAAGCAATGGCTGTAAGTGGAGGTGGAACTTTTTACTAATGGAGGAACTTGTGCTTCTTGCGCTGGGCATCAACTATATTACAGCATAACATTCTCCACTATTGCATCACAAGCTCGCTTGGATACAGATACTTTTAGTTCTGGTTTAGCTACGTTGAAAGTCGAGAAGTGGAATGATAAGTAGAAAAGAAAAACTGATGAGTAAAGAGAAACAAAACGATAAACGAAAGTGGGAAAGCTAGGATATGCTTGTGCTACGCGTGAGCGATTAGCTTAACCTGATTAAGCAAGTGAACATCTTGGTCATAAAGACAATGCTATGGACACATATGTGCTAACTTATACTTATGCTTACTCATTCCATTCAAGGCCAGTGAAGACCTACCTGACTTAGTGTCATCGTTTTTGACGATCTCATCAACTTCCAACCAATCTGAAGTGAATCTCTTTATCATCAACAAATCATTCACTGGATGTGACACGAATCTCTCGTGGCCTTTCGCCGCTTCCAAAGTCCACGGTTTTACTTTGCGAAGGAACGTCTTCAGATCAATCATCCTTGGAAAATCATCGCCTTTATCCACAATGAACTCCTCCAAATGTCTCACGAAATTTGTCTCCATTCGAATTAACGTTTCCCATTGGCTAAGCGCGGTAAAAACCTCGCCATCGATAATATAACTCTGTCGTAACAACGAAATGACGGTCAATAGCGCTACGAATGTTGATGAAAAAAGCGAGAATAATTTTCTCTCCCGGAAGTTAATGTTCGCCATTGAAAGAATAGTTTATTTTGTACTGACTTCGTCTTATTTAATTGTATAAATGCCTATATTTTGGTTTCGATTTCTCTGTGAATATGATATACATAGAAAGAGCTTCGCGTTTGACGGGGCAATGAAAAGTTCTGATTTTGTTTTGTTATAATAAACAACCTGCCTCGATACCTGTTTAAGATGGAAAGAATCGTGTTGCGTTATCTAGAATTATACGTGCCTTAACTCACATTTTGACAAGTTGCCTATTGCAGTCGCGTCCGTGATGGCAAACCAAATACTCAAGCATAAAACTAATAAACAGTTTTACACATGACTGCGGAGGAACTTTCCGAGTTGTGACTCGACTATTTCATGTTTTTTAATCGACTAACTTCAAGTTATTTCAGTAGGTAGCACAAAAGCCGGGAGTCGTTTTATTCGACAAGATCATATATTAACACTCTCCCAACTGAAAAGTCGGAATATATCTTTATCAGCCATTCAAATTGGCTAATAATTCTTAGTTTCAGTTAAATGAGGGCCCCCGACTTGTTTGGTCGACGACATAACAATATGATTATCAACAGGTTATAGTTGCATTAGAAAATATACATGCCCGACGACTAAAAAAAACTAGAGAACTCGGGAGATTTTCGTCTCGTCAGATTGAGGAAGGAAATGAAGATCTCAAAATACAGATCGGCAGGCGTCCTTCATGTTAATCAGTACGATCAAGTAAAAAAAAATGTGGCTAGAGTAGAGATCGCCGAATCCCTGGATATCAGGATATGTGCATGGAAAAAACTCTCACTTTGTCTTTAAAAAACCAATTTACATATATATAGTAATTGCACTATTGTGTGTTATGGATGTAAGGTTTTCGCCTTAATTCAAAGAATTCTTTAGCTTCATGTATAGAAATGCCTAGCAACTCGCTTCTAAATCCGTATATCACTGAATCTATTTGTATAATTGTTAATAATTCGACGCTGTACAAGCGTACTGTCTATAAACAAAGTTTGATTAACTGCAATAAATTTGTTCTATTAAATAACTTATAAATACTTTTGATATCTATATATCTCTTTCACAAGAAACAAACATCCTAAAGACGACGCGTTTGTCTAATGAATACTGCCATTTTTGCTTTCAAAAAGCCTTTGTCTTTTTCTCGTTATAAATGCGTAGGCAGGTAAATCCTACGTCTTTCGGCAGCCAAAACAAAGGATTTATGACTTTTGGGCTATTTTATACCCGGAATTAGTCAACAACTTTAACTTTATACACTCCAATATGCTGGCTTTAAACGGCAAACGATAGCTTCTTTTCACAAAAATTAGGGGAAGATTTAATATATTCAGTGTTATAATTTGATTGCGGCTACCAATCACTCAACCTATTATATCGACTAATAGCGTCTTCTTTTGTAATACAGCGGTAAGATTTCAGCCTTGCATGAAACTTTTTCTTTCAAAACAAAACCAACTATAGCTGCTTAATTTCGTATGACGGTTTATTTACGGTTACACGTAACTTTTGATTTTCGACATCGCCTATTTCGTTTCGGATTCAAAAACAAATCGTTCAACACGGATGAATGCCGTGTCGTCTTTGTGCATGGGTGAATGAATTGGTTGTTGCTCTATAAAGATGTGATGGTGAAGCTTTTATCAACTTCAATCATAGATCATGTTTGAATGGTTATGTACACCAGGAGTTAGTGATAGCGCATAACTGTTTATACCATGAGATTTTACCAGCTCTTTTCAGTGATTTTGATATGCTGGAATGTTCGTGCCTCTTTAGACAGCGAAGGCAGTGGTATAAATCACGGTATGTTACTTCGTTTTACTAAAACTAATACATTCTGTATACATATAACTGACCTAAACGAGAGTTATAAGTTTTCTTCCTTGAGGGTTTAGTAAAATACACAAATGTACAGCTTTTAACACTTGGCCAGACATTGTAAATATACCGACGGATCCTTCTATAAGCTTACGTATAGCGCTACGTATCACCATATTGACACTAAGCGGCTGAATAAAAAGATATACCGGCCTAGATCATCGACCAAGTATTTGATTTTATATATATATATCTATATACAAGTAAAACAGTACTTGACCAAGAAGCTTTATCGGTAATTTGGCTGATGTAAAAACTCAACAAGTGGACATAATCAATTCCTATATTGATATGCCCTCATATATATATATACGCTACTTTCATAGGCTACCCTTACAATATTGATGTGCCCTCAGTTCTTCGTAAATATGACATTTACGACACCGGCAAGTCTATTGAAGCCAAGCGAGCTTCTGATGAGAGTCAGCAGAGTGAAGAAGATGATGAAACGGACTATGGTAAGTCATACCGAACCTCCATTTTGAAATATTAATAATTAGCAGTCCTTGAATTACCCTATCCGCATTTCGCAGCAATTCTTTTAACGTGCATGCAGATTCAGTTCAACTTTAATTTTACAGCCTACCATAGGTGTCATTAATTCTTGCAAAAGTGATTTTTTTGGCCCTAGAATGCTTAGGAAGTCGCGCACCTTGCGCTTCTGACGCCTGATCTAAGGAATAAAACGATCCACCTTGGCAAGACCCCACTAAGATTTAATGCAATGGATTTACCAACAAACCAGTTTGACAGAGAGATCGCTAAGACATGCGATCGGGTTTGATTTGGTCATCGAAGCTACGGCTACGATTCGTGGCAGAATGTTTCTAAATCCAAGAGACTGAAACTCGTGAGGTTTATCAGAACAAGCCGACCGATATCGTAGGATGTTCGGTCACAGCCGAATGCGCTTCGTTTTCGCCACCTCCCAGCTTATTGTAATTGTTTTAATCGTGCGGTTAATCCGTGATATCAAATCCATAATCTGAAATCAAGCTACACTATCTCTCTCCAGGAACATACGAACATGCTGAAAGTCATCGTGATTATGAACGAGAGTATTTGAATTGGAATTGGCGAAGCTATGACCAATCAAACGGTAAAGATACGAATCAAACTTGCATGGTTTGGTTCAGACGAGGAGAACGAACGAGACGTCTGCACTTTATTCAGGGTGGGGAAGTCGGGCCAAGGCTGTGCACATCTCCTCTTCTCCTCTGGTCTTAACCCGCAAACTCCGTGTCAAGTAACTCGTTAGTTTTTCAAAACAAGTAGGCTCGGCAATCGTCTGCATGCGTAGGAGCAAATGCCGAGCAAATGCAAATTTAGATCGGTATTTCGCGTATAATCAGATTTTACCCGCAATCGTGATTACTAATCTTTTAGACCACACAATGACTTTCCAATAAATTCAATTTTTCTTACATCATATCTAGTTTATCAAGCCAGAGGGAAAACGTGCAAAACAAAGGAGTGTTACAGCGCTGCTGAGGAAGTAAAAAGTGGCCTTGACATGTCCATAGACCCTTGTCAAGATTTCGATAGATTTGCATGCGGCGGATGGCGATCTCACAATCCTATCCCCAAGTCCCAGTCTCAGTGGACACAATTTACGAAACTCTGGCAACAAGAGGAAGCGCTTTTGAGGGATCTTATCGAAAGACAAGCTAATAGTTCAGGTGAGCGGCAGTATATAGCTATCACGTATTGTGAGGATCACAGGTCTATACTGACATGCAGCTAAGTACGATTAGCCAGTTCCACTCCATCTGGAGATAAGATAGACGAAAATGGCGACATACACGTCCAGACGCAGGAATGTCAAGGGCTTGTGGCAGGGAAGGTCATAAAGCAGTGCATCTCACGTCAGTCACGTGCACGTTATCTTCGTTTTCTTAATTTAGAGCAGGCAAGCATTTAGGTCATGCATGCACGTCACATGAGTATGAAGAATCATACATTAGAGGAATATTGCTGCTGCCCCACGAGTGTCTGCCCTCATCTGATCTGTTTGTGCCCACCTGTTATACCTTAATTGTTCGAATACTTTCCATACATTCATCGTCTTTTATTAAACTTGTCTATTTTTCTAGCCAATTCCTCAGCGGCACTTGTCTACGCTTGGTATTCTTCATGTTTAAACGAAACAGAGAGAAAGAAGAGCGGTGATAAACCCTTACTTGAACTTATATTACAACTTGATTCCTGTCCGCTTATCAGTCCAAGCACGTGGTCCCCGCATCGCTGGTCGTTCGTGGATCACTTTGTCTGGCTCAACCGCCTAGCAATTCATCCATTTTTCTTCTCTATCCAAAAAATGATCTTTTCAATAGTTCAAAAGTATTGTTGACGGTAAGAAAATGCCGCTGTTCTTCCTGAAGTTCCTGTCTGTCGTCTGGCGTGTTGAATCAATGAGCCAACTCATCTGTGATTTTAGGACTGACTTTCTTTTACCAAAAACCTTAAGAAAACCCTCTTAGGGCGTTAGGTCGCCCCCCTCCTCCATGCACACTCTCATGAATGTGAAGCCCTTTCGTTAACGATGTCGTTGCAGTTTCTCGTCATCATGCCGATGTTGTAGTTTCTCGGCGTCCTGAGTGAGTGTCATCGTCTGTTGTTGTCAGTCCTCTTTTAATTTTGGTTTTTAATTGTTCACCACGTGTAGCTGAGTCCTTCGCAGATGTTGTTGGAGTCTCCAGGTTTCTACATCGCCAGTGGAACATATTACAAAGAAGTATGACAAAACGAATTATGTTCAATTAATTAGTAAAGCTAGCAGACAGTGTGTTAGAAGCATGTGCTAAGTATTCTCTGGCAATGCTTTAAAGAAACTGCAGTGATTGTATCGTGTTAGTGTGGCAAGCTTGCATGCATGGTTCGGACAAAAAATGAATTCGTCTTTAATCTTTCTTTCAGGTGCGAAAAGCATACATCAAAATGATGATTCATCTTTTTTGAAGCTTCGAGAATCTCTTGGTCTGTCTCATATAAATTCTGTTTATTCATTTCGAAATATGATCGTGAATATTTTGATATTGGAAAGCAATATTGCAAAGGTAAGTGAACGTCCACGTTTTAACTATTGAACTGAAAGTCTTGTCAGGAAAATGAATGTGAATTGCTTTTGATAGGTGTTGCTTCGCTGGAAGATGCCGACTTACCAAAAAATGACTTTGAATCGATTACAACGTGAGATTCCAGAGGTTAGATTGCTATAAGCCAATAACCATGATCAAATTTGGACCCGACAGTCCAGTAAATCAATGAAAATGAGAAGAAATGCAAAATGTTTTGGATTTGGACTGGCGTGATACTCTGGCGGGACCAAGAGTTTAATCAATTTTAATTATTTGAAAAGTGTTTCATTTCAACAAATTGCAAGATAACTTGAAGTATCTTTCTTTCTAGTTTCCGTGGAAGCTTTACATTCAGAAGTTGTATTCCAACATCACTCAGAAGAAACCGATTACCGGGGATGAGATGATTGGAGTATCAAAACTGGGTGCATTGAAAAGAATCGCGCATATTTTGAGATTTACACCAAAATCGTATGCATTCGTTTCCATTTTGTCCCGCCCATACATCTTCATTCATATTGATTCCGTATATATTTATGATCGACAACCTATTATTAACTTAATCCTTTGTATTTCTATTAATTCAAGGATAAAAGCAAACTTTTTAATGTGGAACATTGCTTACCACTTCTCGGGGGATATCAGCTCAGATTATGAAATTGTAAGACATCGCTTTGTCGTCGCGATGTATGGTAATCAGCAGCGCAAGGCCAGGTGGCGTGAATGTGTATCATCCACAAGCGCAGCTCTTTCAATGGCCCTTGGCAAATTATTTGTCGAAGAGCATTTTGACATGCACAGTAAAAATAGAGTAAGTTCTTGAAACGATACCTTGAAAGTTAACCACCCTAGCAGGCTAGCATCACCCATCAGTTAATTCAAAGCTGATGTCTAAAGCTAAAGTCTTATTTTAAGCTCTGTGCTTTAGGCGGAAAAAATTATTGAGGATATCCGACAACAGTTGATGAAAGATTTTGAGAATATATCATGGATGGATAACACTACAACAAAGAATGCCAAAGAGAAGGTAATTTTTGTGCAAGAATACAATGAAGTCATATTTAGTTTACGTGTTCGTCTATAAAAAATATCGGAAATTTTATGTCTCGCGGCATAATAATGCATTATATATTTTTCTAGGCAGAAGCAATTGTTAAGAATATTGGATTTCCAAAATTTATTTTGAACGATACCTTGGTTGGATATTACTACAGTGGAGTAAGTTAAACACTCTCAACACCGTATTTGCTGGCATACCATGTTACTCAATGCTATAGGTGTGACGTATCAAGTTAATGGTTCATAGTTGTTCATTTGAAATGTGACTATACGTGCATCAGTAAATGAAAGAATTTTGGCCTTCATTTGTGTAAACACACTTCTTTTATGTAAACACACTCCTCATCTATTATTAGCTCCTTTCCTGATTTTTTCTGATCAATTTTTTTCAAAGATGTCATTCAGCCCGGAGAAGTTTTTGAGGAACATTATAGTGCGTCGTATAGTTATATCACGGAATACATTGATGTCTAGAGAAATAAAACCCAATCGAGCAAGGTAAAAAATACATGTGTGGCAAATACTAGCACGTGGGGCTACTACCTTCCCCAGGATGTTTTCACTGAGAAATTATAATTTCTTCTTAAGATGGTCGATGGCTCCACAGGAAATCAATGCCTATTACAGTCAGGAATACAACAAGATAGGTAAATAAATTAGTCAAAATAGAGTCGCAACTCGCAAGTGTCCTCAAAAGGTACTACATTGCCATATTAGAATAAGCCATTATCCGTAGGGACAGTTAAGATCTGTTTATGCGATCCAATTTTGTCAGATCCAATTTACTTATGCCGTATGAAATGTAGTCTACTATTGATAATGCAGTAGCTGTTTGACTTTAGTTGATTAGCCTTAAACATTCCAAGTCAACAGACAACAAAAGACTATAAAATATCCGGCCATCATGCGACAAAAATAATAAAATTGAATTGTGTGAATTACAGTGATCGATGACCTAAGTCGTGAAGCCACGTATAGCCACATAATTTAATGTATTGTACTACTTTTCTTTTACTAGTATTTCCAGCTGGAATTCTGCAGCGACCATTTTGGCATGCTTCCTATCCGATGTATGCATATCTTTACTTCATGCTTTTTAAAAGATCTCTACTGATTCAACACTTAAAGCTCTTATTCCACTCATCGCAAAAACAAGCTCGCAACTTTGTGCTAAGTACTCAATACAACCAATTTTATAAACCTGCATGTTGAGCTTTCGCGAGTGAGTTTTGTTATGAGTTGATAAGAGGCTAAACTGTTTTATCAGAATGAGATGAACTGGATGATCATGTTTACGTCCTGTATTTTGATTAGGTCAATGCAGTACGGTGGTTTGGGATATATTGTGGGCCACGAGATTAGTCATGGATTTGATGTCAGCGGTGAGATGCTATAATATGAATATGACACCCAAAATAGGCAGTTTTTATCATCATGGGAAACATCTTGTTCTATATCTATGTATCTGCAGGAATGCACTACGACAAGAACGGAAATTATATTAGTTGGTGGACTAAGTCATCGAAATATGCCTTTTTGATGAAATCCCTGTGCTTGAGAGACCAATATTCAAACTACACGATCTTTGGGAAACACGTAAGTATATTTCTCCAACAGTGGCTACCCTGGTTCACTGCCACATCAGTACTGAGCCATCAAATCGTCCCATTTCATGGTGACCAGTTTTTGTTCTTTTAAATGGTTCATGAAACCCAATACCATTTTGGTCTACTTGTCTGACTCTGTCTATAGATGAATGGGATTGCAACTTTGGGCGAAAATATTGCAGACAACGGCGGAATACGCTTGGCTTATAAGGTTTGGACATATTTTCATACTATGGTCCGCATACATGCCACAGAATCGAAAGTATAGTCAGACATGGTGGAGATTACTGAATGCATAAAACTGAGCATTTACTAGCCCGGCCTTACTAAACCTTGCCACCGTAGGGCACTTGGAAAACCTTGGCTAGAATTCCGTCTATTCTATGATTACTCAAAGAACTGATAATGAAGTGATCAAGAAGTCTGAACTTCACAATCCAACCTACAGTTATGCATAATATTAGTTAGTTGGTATACGTAACAACCGAACTGTGAAATGCACTCTCTCATTACGCATAGGCATATCAAAAATGGAAGAAAGACAATGGCAGCGATGAACAACTTTTGCCGGATTTCCCTTTTACAAACGAACAATTGTTTTTCCTGAAAGGTGCACAGGTAAGCATGATGAATGGTCAGCTTTGGTCTCAGCATTCTCCAAATAACAAATTAAGTATCCGGTAAGAACAATGTCGTTTCATTTTCGTGATCATTCTGTGTTGTCATCGATAGATGTGGTGTGCTAATATCCGCAAGAAAGTTGCTCTTAACATGATCGATACTGATGAACATACGTTGAAAATGTTCAGGTAAATTAGAATTTTTACTTATATCGAATGAATTTGGCTTTTTTCTACCGAATACTTTGAAATTTGCATTTTTATTAGGATCATTGGTCCGTTTTCCAACTCAGAAGCGTTCTCAAAGGCTTTCAAATGTCCGCCAGGAAAGCGAATGAATCCTGTAAAAAAATGCCGCGTTTGGTAGAGGAATATTTTAAATGAAAGATAAATTATATTTTTGACGTATCAATTAGTATTTTTTGATTTATCTGGATATATATTTATGTGGATAGAATCGTTTATGTTTGAACCAGCATTATTAATGTTAAGCGATAGGGGCCACCACAAAATTCTTCATCATACAGATAGTCAATGTATGCCCTCTGCTGATAAAATGAAACAAATTATTGCGTCTAAAGTGATAAATGAAGCCCAAGGAATGTGGGGACTCGGAAACTGCTTCCGAGGACTTTGTATTACGTGTCGCGTGTCTTTGGCGCAGTGAGCTGACTGAGCTCTATATAATGATAGACTCGTGCAAAAGTCTCCTTCGGCAATACGAGTTGGCTACTACAACACGTTTTTGTTGCAACAAAACCAAGAAAAGATTTGGCAGTACTGGTATGTATAGTACTAATACTAGAATTTTGAGGTCATCAATTTATAAATTATCGTCGACTTTATTTGTGGAATTTGCAATATACGGCAGATAACATTGACCTTGGTCTGAATAATTCTTGATACCATGCTCAGCCTCATCCAATATTTGTAAATTGATTATTGATTATTGGTTTGTAAATTGAGTAATTGTTTATTGATTGTCACTCTTCACCAGACTTCTATATACCCTATGACGTCACGGCGAACGAGTTGTACTTTGCCGAATAAGTTAATATTCAACACACACAGCAGCGTATGTTTACGCCAGAGCACGTTGTAAACTTACACAAAAACTTCGCTCATAAAGGCGGAAATGGCCATGGATTGCCCTTATATTAATTTTATGGCAATCTACATCATTTCTGCTAGCTTTTTAGGCACAAATTCTGGCCGTGGAGTCACGCATTGGAAGCTGAACGAGCAAGGCAGTAGCATAGTTGAAGGCAACGAGAGTGACAGGAATTATGTCAAAACTGACCCGGTATTTGCCTTATTGATTGAACATTATCCACCTAAGACAGCTCCTGCAAGAAGGCCTAAATCGGGAAAGAATAAATCGAGCAAGAAAGCATCTCCAGCAAATCATTTAAGGTGCGTTTTCACGACAGAAATCGCGTTTACAGCGCCGTGTCGGCAGTGACTTAGTTAATAATTATAAATATTCAACTGTGTTTCTTGGGCATATTGGATGCCCCGTTTATTATTATTGCCCTCTGGGAAAACAGCTCTTATCCAATCTTCCATCAAACGTTTTGATTAGGAAATAAGGACTTTATAATCGTAATTTATTCTATTGTGAGAAAGTTTCAAGAGGATCATGAAAGAATAAAACTTGCTTCTTAGGCATTTTTGTGTTGTTGTAAAATATGTACCTGTCAGACTGTTACATTTGTCATGTACTAACAATATTAAGAGAATTTGGAAGGTTTGAATGCACTTGATGCATTGGAGTGATGAGTAGTTTTAATGCATTGTAATAATTTAATTTTAATCTCTGCTCACATGCAACAATGGTTTTTTTTATGTTTAGGCTTAGGCTACTTTGTTTACAACCCTTCAGCTGTACATTAGTATGTCTGATAACCTACTTATTACTTATTATTTTTGTGAATGCTCTGAATGATATTTCCTACAGTACCAGGCATTAAACTTAGTGTACTGCTTATTCGCGTTTATAGTGGCTTTGGACTTTCAACTTAAGATAACAAAAGTCTTTATTTGCGTATGATATTCACTCATCTACGGAACCCAATTATAGGCAGTACAAAATTATCTTGTTTCAATTTGATATCTGAGGATATTACTGTAGCATTTATATCAATAGGTTACACCTTTGCAACTATGTTGTGGATTTCTACACAATGAAGATGATAATTATTTTTCTTTGCTGCAGTTCACCCACAATGACAGGTCCACCAGCATATGAAATATTCCAATCGTCAACATTCCACTGTGGTGATCCTGTCAATGAAACAATGTACGACAGCCTACTTGGAATAGCCAGGAGAAAAACCCACCCATTGTTTGAAGAACCAGAAGTCTCCATGATCTTTAAAAAGAGTGAACTTGACCAGCTAGATATGAAGGCGATTGAAGAAAATTTACAGAACTCTTTAGAGGAGGTAAAATAAATAAAATGCATTTGCTTGAGAAAGACAATCTTCTACATCTTTGTGTATTTTTAGAGTCCCATGTCTGTTGTGGTATGCAATCAAATTGGAAACTATTTGAGAATGAAAGGCAACACATACCATGCTATTGAGTGTTTCAGAAAAGCATTGTATACCATGCCAAATAATGCAGACATTCTTCTTAACCTTGCAAGAGTATTGTATAACTTGAAGTACCTTGATGATGCGATCTATCTTACCAGAAGGTCATTGGAAATGCAGCCAGCCAACCTAAACTGTTGGCTACAGCATTTCACTTTGGGTGAAATTCTCAAAGCAAGCGGGGAGAGGAAGGAGGCAGCAATTCATTTCAGAAATGCATTGGATCTCAACCCATCCTTTCAACCTGCCGAGATTCAGCTGCAAGAATTGGGTACGGTTGTCGATGAGTCATTCGACTTTTATACATATTTAATCATCGGCCTTCTTGTCATTGTCGTGTTGTTTTGGTTGTACATAACTAGCCCAGGGAAAGAGCAAAGTAGCCAAAGCAAATCAAATATCCGTCCTCGGATAATACCTGGACCTGTTAGAAGATCAATCAATCGGCGACTGTAATAGGGGGTGACATGGTTTGTTGTCGAGGTTAGCAAGAGCTGGCAATTTGCTGCCTGTTTCACCAGTAGCTAAATAGATTTGAGATGACCTCTTTAGCAGAAGGGAAGTTTCAAAAGAATATATTTATTTGACATATATAACTTTTTACTTGGTAAGGCAGAAAAAGATTTGGAAGAAAGAAATTATTTACTGTCTAAAGATATTATTTTATGATAGAGCAAGTACTCAGTTCTTCAAATTTTATCAGATGCAGTGAACAGTGCAACAAATTCAGCTCTTGGTAATTTTATGCACCTATCCGTTTACAAGAATGCAGTCGCACTTTCTTAGAATCAAGTGTTCGTAATATGCGCCGTACAGTACCACGACAACATGAACTTTGTTGATGTGATTTTGTCTTATTTAATAGTGCTTTTCAAGTTGTGTAAAAATTTTTAGCTTTCACGTAATTTTTTTCAAATTGAAAACAGTCAAATCTGAACAAAAAATGAATTAAAAAAATAAAGTTTTCCAATATTATAAAGCGTTGTGATGGTTGACAATCTCATTTTCTATGATAATTAGCGGATGGGAAATGGATGGGAAATTGAATGACGAAGCCGATAATTACAATAGATTCATAAAAACAAACAAAAGGAATGATTAGTTGAAATCCCACGGGAGTTTAGGACGTCGTTTATGGCCTGTTTCAGCGGCATATTGCATAATTTAACCTTCCGTACTGACCGTACATTAAGTTCTGTTTGAAACGGCCGCCATTATGTACAAGACTACAAGACGGATGAAATATTACTGTGTTAGAGATTTTCCTAACATTAACCTCGATTTTCACTAAGTCAAACTATTAAATCTACATATCTAAATGGTGAACTAGAAGTGTGTTTGCAATATTTCATGTGAAGCTGTTTGTTTTTGCCGTTTATTCAACATAACTACCATCAGCTTGAATTGACTATCAAGCCAGGAATACTCAACACGAAGGCAAGTAAATTTTAACTAAATACAAGTTGCATTTGTTCGGTACTTTTTATTTGAATATTTACAATTATTTATGAAAGTAATTCCTAACAATTAGGCTTCCGTAAGATCGTCATTGAAGTACAAATGTATAGCAGGCAAATAGTGATCTTCATTAATGCTAAGTTGATAAAAGTCTTCACTCTGATCTGCGATTCCATTTTCTACCAAGGTCTTCTTCATGTCAAGATTAACCCCTTTGTATTTCCAGGTGTAGCTGCCTGCATGCAGGTTATAGTTGATATAACGGTCTTGGATCTCTGTCAGGATTTCTTCAGAGCAAACCTGCAAAGGTAAATATATAGTTTTTTTTTAAAAATTATGTAGTGGGAATAACAATGTGGCATCATTTTATTGAATGTAAAGAACTCTTGTGCATTTAGCTACTCTATAATCTCACAGCCCCTATCTCACAGCCTCTATCTTACAGCCTCTATCTCACAGCCTCTGCCTCACAGCCTCTGCAAACAAGCTGTTGACGAGGTTGTTTTTGCATTGGTTATGAAGCAAGATTTACCAACCTGTTTGTTGAATGGCAAAGTTCTAATAACTTTGCATGCAATTCACCTGTAATTTTGTAAGTGTGGTGGTTGCAAAATGCAATATTGGAACAAATTTGTGGTGTGAACTGTGAAACAGCCTCTCCCATAAATCATGGCTGAATTTGGCTCTAAAAGAACCTCATGACAAGTCGATAATGCCAAACCATTTTGCATTGATCCACCTTGCAATGTGCTGAGTGCAAACAACTTGTTTGGATGCTTGTTTTAAAGCTTTGCATTTTTATGCGCATGATAGTGTGATGCTAACCTCTAATACTTGTTCCTGGGAGGTCAAAGTGTTTATTATCCTAATTTTTGTTGTTTTTCCAGACAACCGACCAATACAGAAAGACTCGTCTCTCCACCATGGTCGTCCAAAATCATTGTCCCAGTCTGTTCTTGGGCATTTTGGTGGAATGTGAATGAACCGTCCTCGTGGAGTGTATGGGAACACACAATTAGTTTCTGGGTCAACACAAGTTCGAATCTATATTGAATGTGGTTATAAATGTATGAGATTTGGGGATGCAGCCTGAGGAAGGCATGGATATCGAACCTGATGCTAGGTAGGTCTTGTATCTGTGCATGGCTAGGAGTATACAACAAAACACGGTGCATAATACCTCTTTTGTTTTGCGATCAAACCAATGAGATATATCTTTACCCGCTGCTTCAACGATTGGCTTTAACAGAACATCCCCTGAATAATCATGAAGTTTGAAAGTAAATTTCAGGTTTTTCAGGATTGATATCGGCAATTTAAATGCGGTAGTAACTGCATGCAGTACTTGCTTCGTTTCCATTCGCAGTCACAAACAATAAAGCAGCTTTTCTCTTCTCAATAACAGACTACTTACCTGCGTATTTTTTGCATAACGGGGTAAGATCATACACTTTGCCAAGAAACGAAACCCAAATATCTTTCAGAGTGTTGTGAATGCTGACTTCGTTCGGTGTATAATATTTTGGTCTTCGAGTCGGATTTTCTCCCATATCTTATAAAGAGAAATACAGCGTATTTCTTGTCGAAAATGAAATTGTTTACGATAATTACAAATTTAAAGTTTGGGTTCGTTGTTGCCTAGCAACATGAATCCGGGGGGAGTTCTATATCTGTGGATTAGGCCGTATTCAGGTTCAGCATTTTTCTGCCTCATCCATCACGATTTTCATTTTGAGATAAATGCGAATTACACTGTATCATGAATGGTTAGATCTACAGATTTATGGCTTAAATAATAACAAGGGCGCTATACAAGCATTTGAATATTAATCATCGTCGTCGGCGACAAAACTTTGGGCCTAGTCTTTTCATGCCAAACACGGACACGCGCGCGGAAGGTGTCGACAGTCGACTGTCGATGAAAGTAGAATTTCGGATGGTATCGTCGTGGTATATTATTATTAGTCCACAATAAGAGCCTCTTTAAGCTAATCTCTGGAAGTTACAACTTATTAAATTATAACTCAGAAAGCTACTAATAGTCTAAGTAATAGGGAATGCTGTTGAGTGGAAAAGGACTGAGTGAAATTGAGATTTAGTTCAGCCTTTATACAGCTTAGAGTTAGTAGCTGTTTCTAAGCCTTGCTAGGCTACTAAACTGATCAAACTCTCGGTTCTGTAAGTCGCAAGTTGATTCAATTTTCACTGAAATTAAAACAACAAAAAAAAACACACAAAAACAATAAAAAATACTATAAGAACTACTTAAAAATACTTAGTCTTAGAGCACGTGTACTTCATTATTACGACTGGTTAAGCATTATTTAAGCTCATTGTCTCGCAGCAGGTGCTAGAAAGCTGACCATTCTTTCAAAACCAGGTAAATGCGATGACATCAGAAAACTTCATTGAATAGCATTTCTAAACACATTAAGAATATTGTAAATGTTTATAATTCGGTCGCCCGTTCCGCGGCTTTTCATCGCAGAAATTTGTAAACAACAATTACAAGCAAATACTTGCTAATTGTTGGCGTTGCCTTGATACTTTTGAACAATTGCTGGGTTTCGAAGATATTTGTGTTTTCAAGAAGAGGACAAGTTTTGAACAGTATTTCAAATTACATTTTGTATGCACTTGGATTAAAGTTGAAAGGGGAGATTGTCGGAGTAAGAGGCTTCCGTAAAAGTAGTGGTGTATTCGGACTTGGTGACAATTGGATTATTTGGATATTTCCTTTCATAGTCATAGACATTTCAGCTGAAAATATATTGATTACCAAACCGATGTGACTTTACGATCCAAAGAAAAGTCGTTGCTTTGCAAAGCCGGGGTGCTTCATTTCATCAGTGACCTGACAATAGTAAATGACTGCAGCGAGTATCGGGCATTAGAGGCTGAACTATCATCTTCAAGTTTGAAACTTGGATTTAAACGAAACGACTGAAGAACCGTAAAAATAAATACGTCCATTTAATAATCATTTGACGGTACACCAGATTCGTTTCAATCATTTCTAACAAGTATTGATAGGGAAAACTTGGATCTGGGAGTTTTAACGCGTATGGTAGGTGAAGCTAAATGTCACTGTTGGAATTTAATGAACACAATTAAGAACGTATTGCTTCAAAAATAGTTTATTTGTGAATTTGAGACCGTGCGGACCTCGGGATAAAGAAGATAATGTTCGGTTTACTTCGTTTATTTACAAGACGAAAGGAGGTGTCATCTGAAGTGAGTTCGTCAAACTTGAGCCGTTGTCTGACGACCTGGGACCTTGTCTCGCTCAGTATTGGAGCCACGTTGGGTGCCGGGATCTATGTTGTAACTGGCCAGGTAGCGGGGAGCATCGCAGGCCCAGCCGTCATAGTCTCTTTCACCATTGCGGCCGTTGCTTCAGTCTTGTCTGGTTTATGCTATGCAGAGTTCGGTGCTCGCGTTCCACACACAACTGGGTCAGCGTACACGTACAGTTACGTGACGGTAGGTGAATTCGCTGCGTTCGTGATTGGTTGGAACTTAATCCTAGAGTACATGATTGGCACGGCTGCAGACGCAAGAGCGCTCAGCGGTTGCTTTGATTACGTCATCGGACACGCGATACGCAACTTCACCCTCTCCCACATTGGCACATTTCATATTCCTACCATCGGGGATACGTACCTGGACTTCTTATCCTGTATCCTCACACTAGCAGTGACCGGGGTTCTAGCCTCGGGGGTTAAACAGTCCTCGGTGTTCAGTACTGTATGTAATGTCGTTAATCTTGCCGTTGTTGGGTTCATCATAATCGCCGGTGCCTTCTACGTTAAACGTGAAAACTGGAGTGTTAAATCAGGATTTTTCCCGTACGGTGTCTCTGGTGTTTTAGGCGGGGCTGCGACATGTTTCTACGCGTTTGTCGGTTTCGATATTATAGCTACGACGGGACAAGAAACGAGGAATCCACAACACTCTATACCTTTAGCAATTATGATAAGTCTCTTTATCGTGTTTATGTGTTATTTCAGTGTTTCCTCGATTATAACCCTGATGTTGCCCTATTATAAGCTGGATAAGCTATCCCCAATTCCCAACGCCTTTGCGCAGCGTGGTCTGCACACAGCAACGTATATTGTCGGCGTCGGAGCAGTTTGTGGCCTTTCCTCAAGCCTCATGGGCTCCCTGTTTCCGCTACCGAGAATAATTTACGCGATGGCAAATGATGGTCTGTTGTTTGAGTCGTTCAGAAAAATCAGCAGTCGCAGTGATATTCCTTTTGTCGCAACAATTTATCCCGGAATCCTAACATCGATTCTTGCTCTAGTTTTTAACTTGGATGAGTTGGTTGAAATGATGTCCATAGGAACACTTCTTGCTTATACCCTAGTGTCCCTATGTGTTTTAATACTTAGATATCAACCGAACACCCACCTGAGTCCCGGGGATTCCCTCTCAAGTGGTAGTTTTGACTTTGGCGAACTTGCCCTGAACGATAACGTAGACTTTGAGAAAAGATCATCCAAAACGACAGAAAAATTGGAAACGAACGGAGTGGAAAGAAGGAGCAAAAATATCGTTAATCCGAGAAAAAGTGAAGTCGCTTCTATAAACGGTATTGATAAGGATTTTGTGGAAAATGTGTACCACAAAAATGAAAAAAGTACATTTATGGATGGTAGTTCTAATTTGAGTTCGCTCGTCATGGACAGTGTTAGTATGTCTAAAAAGAATGGAAAGAGTTTATATACTGATGACCAGGTATCCGCAGAAAGGACAGTTCTCAGTGAAAGTGATTATCAAAATGAGTCAGTTTATTTCTCATTTCCAACGGAGAAGACTGGCCGCATAGTATGCTGGGCGTCGCTGTTGCTGTGTATTTCATCGTCTGCATTCTTCGCCCTCATAGTCCACGCTATAGACTTCATATTACACAAGAACATTGTGGTTATCGCCCTCACTTTAATCGTGGGATTTTTATCCATCATCTGTATCGGAGTCATCGCTGCAATGCCGCAAAACACAACCAGGTTATCCTTCAATGTTCCTTGTGTCCCAGGAATTCCTATTTTGGCGATATTTTTCAATACATTTCTCATGATCAAGTTGTCACGAGTAACGTGGTTACGATTTATCGTTTGGATGATTTTAGGTAAGGAATATTATCATTGTTATCATAAGATAAAGCTCAAAAACTAGCAGCTCTGCTTGTTAGAAAGATAGCTAGACTAAAACTTCTAACATTAGTATAACATTAAGCGATCCATTGATCCCAAAATGACATTTTATTCCTTCTTTTAAATCTAGGTCTGGCTATTTACTTTCTTTATGGTTTACGACACAGCTTTGTTGGATTACAATTGAAAATGAGAGCTCACATGGAACTAGAGCAAAGACCGTGTGTCCTGTCAAAAAATCTTTGTCAATTTGATTATGATATGGACGTGATACCAGCTCATCGCGAGCAAGACGGGGGGAAATCTTCACCGATTAGTCCCATCTTCTGGTCCAGCTTACAGAAGTACCATTTCTTCGCTAGCGATTATGATGAAAAGGACGCCAATCATGAGATGCATTAATATATTAATTTGGCTTGATAACCGTTACAACAAATGTGGCTAAAGATGTAATCGTGTAGCATTTGTGATGCCTTGACACTGCGAGATACTCTATCATCCCGTGGATAGCAACTGCATTGCAACTACTGACTCTTTTCTATAATTACAAGTTCTGGTAATGCTGATAAACCCAGCTTATTAGTTTGGCAAGATTTCAAAACCATGAATACCTTTGACCATGAGATAAAATTGTGTGACAAACCGCAAGACAACGAGACAGAGATAGACATGGACTGTCCTGTAGTGTAGTGCATTATTCTATACAAATTATTAATACAATTCTAAATTTATAAACTGGTGCAATGAGCTGTAACAGCCTAGCAGGAATAAAAATTTACGTTCTGTCCCTGTGGGGGTATCGTATGATATGATACTACTGCTTTCACTATTCCTCTATTATCCATTTCTACCGCTATAAAACCCGGCTATTTTCCACGTAGGGTTGTTCCTGCATGGTTTTGGTTTAGCGTTGTACATGCCTGCGAAACTCATGTAGTTAAAAGTTTTGTCCATATTACCACACGGATACGTTATGGGAGGTATACTATACTTCTTCTTCGACCCGTTGTTCAAATAATTTAGCCAAAACATTTCAATCTCTAGCGGATAACTACCGTGTAGGGCCAGAAAATTACTGCAAATATCTTGGTAGTACTTTAGCATTTTGTCCTCCGCAGCAAGGTCATGATGTACCCTACGGTCTCCGAAGTATGTCACCCCCGGAATGTTGTTTATCCACATGGACATCGCCTGATCACCGTATGGGTGGCACATGAGTGTCTTGTTTTCTTCACGTAGAAACCGCTGTGCAAGATCATTGCTTACTATCACAAAGCCCTCGTCCACTCGGATGCCACCTGTAGTGGGAAGAATGATTGAATATAGATTTAAAACTATATACTAACAGGTACTTTTGTCAGTTTCAATGTATTATGTTGTTTTTTTTACCTGGTGGACTACAATGAACATGACCCCAGTACAATTTCTTCTTCGGCCGATACGGCAACTCGAGCAAAAGTCTATCC